TGATTTCTTCTTCAATTATAGGTAGTTAAACCCATTAGCTAGGGTTGTGGCTCAACCCTAGTGTGAGTATTTAATGGGTCTTTTATTTTAGGGCTTAGATATTTATGGGTGATTGTTATTTGTCCTGATTTATGCTTTTTATGTTGAATTAGTCGTTGCAAACACTAATTTGTGCCTTTTTGACTTAGGCTCTTCTTGAGAAAGACGGACTAAGTCTAGGAATTTCAGGCCAACAAGAAATTGGGGTGTATTCAAGAGATTGATAGCCCAAATTAAAGGATTAAACCTAGAGATAGTAATACCGACTTGAGCCAACATTGCTTGCACAACTTGAACACTCAATTGGGCTTGAGAAAGCCAATTAGGGCAAAGTCACTCTTACTACCGAGAGGTGAGAGTGAGTAGCTTCGTGCATTGGCTATATCACGATTCCAATTATAACATCATTGCCCTAAGTTCTAGATCTTGTTAGATACTTACCTAGGAGTAAGTCACTTCCCTAGTGCTTCTTTACCCATTTAGAAAACCCTATAAAAATATCTACGTAGCTTAATTTCGCGCATCATTAGTATAAAATTCGAAGTAACAAACAAACAAGAATGATTGGAAGTGTAATCAAGAGCACTACACACTACTAGATTAGATAGGAATCCAACTCCAAACATTGTATTAGCTCCCTATGGATTCAATCCCGACCTTCTTGGGTAAAAGCTGCATCGACCGCTCTTGCCAATCTGTTGTGGTATAGGGTTGGAATCGATTAGCCACTTCAAGTCAAGTAGAAGGATTGCAAGCAGCTTCAACTATAGCAGCCACTCGCCCACAACCTGAGGGACAGCGAGAATTTGGACTTAAGAGCATACCCTCAAATTTCAAGGACTGGTACAAGCTTTGTCTACCGATACATATACATCCTGAGGCAGCTGTTCATGAACGTCGCTTACAAGCTAAGTATCAAGCAATCTGGAAAGGTATTCATGATCTTGTGTTGAGCTATATGTTTAGAAACATCGGGGATATCAATGTCAACCTTGTTCGGGAATTTTATGTTGGTTTTGATCCAAATGATCCTAAGCAGTTGGTGCCTATTTGGGGAAGGTTGATCGATTTTTCAGCATCCGCCATATGCAATTTTTTAGGTGCGCCGAATGTTCCCCAGGAACCATTGGACAACTTCATAACCCATCCAACATATTTAGCACTGAGACACACTCTCTATGGTGCAAATTCTATGGCGTCTTGGGTTCAGGACAAGAAAACCAATCGTCATAGGAATTTTCCTAAGAAAAACATGAAGGCAGAAGCTCAAGTGTGGTTGAAATTGATTAACACACAGCTACTACCATGCAACCATGACACTCTTATTAGCCGTGAAAGGACATGTGCATTATACTTCCTAATGACTGGCCAGGAAGTGAATATGGGCCACTTGATACGCTACCAAATGACCCAAGTGAGAACAAGCAAGAGAATTGATAGATTTTCTTTTGCGAACATGTTGATTCAGTACCAGAGAAAAGAATAGGTGGAGGAAGATAAAGCTTTTGATAGAGTCATTCCTCCGCCATATGACTAATGAACGTCTCTAGCATCCGGGTTAAGGAAGAGAATGCTATGACAGGTGCTGAGTGCAATGCTCGAGATGACAGCTTTTTTGCCTATTTATATGGGATGATGAGCCTGCAACTTAGGATTGGGGGATGACCGGCCACTACAGAAGAGAGGGCCATCTTGGAGGAACGTTTCTCGCTTAATGTTGATGCCCAACAGCTGGTTAGGCTTGGTGATGGCTACCGACTCCCGAAGGATGAGAATGCCAACACACCGGAATAGTCCGAGGCCGAGCCAGAGCAGCCAGAGGAAGAGGATAATGATGATGCTGAGGAGGGATTAGAGGATGAGGAGTGGACAGCTGCAGATGGGACCTTCGAAGATGAAGGCGATGACGAGGACTAATTAGGGAGTTTTTCATACCGCCCTACTTGTTTTTTTTGTGAATTTATATATGTACTAAGGAAATTGCATGGATTAAGGCTGGGGTGTGACTTGTAGATATTAGATACACTAATTCCTTTTTGGTTTTAAAAATAAAAAAAGTAAAAAAAATTGGACTTTTTCTGATGATGGATCTCCCAGACAATTTTCTTGAGGGATTTAAGTCTAAAGAAAAAATGACAAAAAGATTTTTCTTTGTAGGCAGTGTAGTATTTCCCCCTTGGTTTTTCTTTGTGTCGCGGTTCTTTTACAAGGATTTTGTTTGAACTGGGTGTAGGTAGCTTTATTTTTCTTTAGTGTAGGAGCCATGGTGAGATGGATTGAATTGAAGCAATATCTCTTGACTTTCTTATGCATTGAGAATAGCGAGTACTTTGGTTGTGACGCTTAGGCTCAGTTTTTTACTCTTGTATGAGTACCTTAAATCGTTTAATCATAAATTTGTTTAACTGCTTTGACTAGAGTGTCTTGATAAATTTAATCCTGAGTGAGTTAATGTGTCATGTGTGTGTGAGGTTTGGGTGTTATTCTGTGCATTGCATTCGATTCCTAGAACTTGCCCCTTGTGTTTGCAAAGCGAAATAGATTTGTTCGTCTTGGAAGTGATATAGACATTTCTTTGCTAAACCAGATATGTATATTTTACCCGCCTAGTTGTTATGTATCATAGTTAACCCCTTTGAGTTTATAAACTTTGTAAAATTAAAGTGTGGGGTGATTGGTTTGGCTTTTGAGTGGAACTAATGAAATAAGGAGAAATGTGCACTGTTTTAAAAAAGCAAGAGCCACGTGAATTGCAAAAGAAAGAAAGAAAAACATATATAGTTATATTGCTGTGAAAAATATTCCTTGATAGTGGTGACTCTTGATGTAATTATGCTTAAAGAAGTATGGAGTTAATATACATTGATGTGAAAGTGAAGCTATGGTTTGACATAAATATGGGGTTTGAATGTTAAAGTATATGTATTAAAATGCTTAGGGAGTTGTAGTCACTCTTATATCCAAATGTATCATATCCGACCCGTAACCTAAATTACAACCAATTAAAGTCCTACTTGATCCTAGACTGAATGAGCTCGATTAGTAGAGTAGTACACTACAGGCAAACCTATGGTGCATTTTTATGGCATATGAATGTGATTTCTGAGAGTGGGTGAATTCTTCCTACTTTGAGTTCCTATGTTCTTAAATTTTATTGTGCATGGAACTAAGCTCTTTTGTTGTGTGAGGGCACTTGATTCATGAAGGAAAGGTAATATCATTGACCTCTATGTTAGAGTAATTGAGTGAGTTGTGAATAATGCAGGGTACTTGTGAGCCAAATTTTGAGGTGAAGATGTTACACTCTTGTCGTTAGTCTATTTTAAAGATTCTTGGTGTGATAAGTTAGGAGAATTGATTAAAAAGGTTGTGTTTATATAATGTGTAGTTTCATTGCTCGAGGACAAGCAACGTTTAAGTGTGAGGTAGTGATGTTTGGCTGTAATTCCATATTTTTAGTGCATTACTTACCTTATATTTTAGTGTTTTAATGCTAAACTATATTATATTTGTGTTTAATTGAATTTATTTTATGTGTAGGTACATTGGAGATGAAATTGTGAGCAAGGCAAATATCTTGGAAGTATATTATATGTATTTAAATGAATGCATGCATTTGTCAGACACATGAAGTAAAGAATGAAGGTTTGGAACTCAAAATCAACGAGCTTCAAGGGAATTAAAGTTGGGCAAAGCAAATCAAAAAGGAGAATTGAAGCAAAAGTTAGGCAACAAAGCAGAAGCAGGCAAGGCGAGGGATTCTTCTCGCCTTAGATCTTGCTACGCCAGTGCTGTAGCGAGGTTCACCGCGCAGTAGAGCTCGCGTCGCGCGGTCTGTGGCGAGATGGAGCGTGTTTCGGGTTTTAAAGCCTATTTTGTTTCCTATTTGGTTTTGGATTTGGTTATTTCGTCTATGTTTTTCCCTACACATATATATAGTCATTAAACATCTTTTTAGAGGAGTTTTTGCGACCGGAGGCAGGAACATCACGTAGAACAATTTTTGGAGGAGAGAATCATCGAGTTCTTCATTCCTTCATCTTTTCTTTGTACTTTGTTTATGCAAAATTATTGATAAAAGGTGCCTATGAATATGAGTAGCTAAACTTCTAATCTAGGGTTTGATGGAACCTATTGGAGGATGATTTTCAACTACATTAAATATAGATTTGCCTTTGCTTTTTCTCTACTTATTCAACTACGTTTTCATTGTGGTTGATTGAAGAGCTCTCAATCGACTGTGCCTATTTAGTGTGTATTGCTTGGAAAAGAGTACATATTTAGGTAGTTATTGAACAACATCGCTCCTAACGTATGTGAGGAATTAATACGGAGGGTTTAAAGGTGGGATTAAGAATAACGAAACCTTGGTGCGATCCTAGTGAATGGTGAATTAGAGCAGCTAACATAGTTCGAAAGAATACGTCTAGTAAATTGTGGTAGTTACTCGGAAGAGAATTACGACACTCAAAGTACTCACGATCGGTAGAGAATACTTAGGCGAATTTATAGGAAATATAGCGGGGATGATTCCGACAATAGAGGAAATCGCAACCCTAGACTTTTCCAAATCTTGTCTATAACCTTTCCTCTGTTAGCTATAAATTACTGCATTTTAATTAATTTTTTCTTAGTTAGTAAACATTCAAATCATTATTTAATATTTCTGAAGGTTGATGACTTGAATTCATGCTAGTCTAATGGTTGTAATTAGTAGGTTAATTTTCTGTGGGATTCGGCTCTGGACTTATAAACCAAATTATATTTGCAACGACCGCTAGACTTTTTAGGAGACATAGTTGGGCGTGATCAGAAAAAAACTAATAACTTTTACACAGAGAAAAAAAAAAGCCTAGTATTGAGGGGGTTTAACGGTAATTACATATGTTCCTTCGTTAATATCGAACCCCTACACATTCTGACAGTCTTCTTCATTAGCTCTTCCATAAATGAGCCCAGTTCTCAATTCTCTGCCTCTACTGATTTTGCCCGCAATCGCTCAATTCTCATAGGAAGCTGTTGAATCTGAGAGGAGAATTTTTTTTGTTACTTCGCTCAGCTCTCCGGCATTCTTCTTCTTCCTCTTTCTTTTTTCCTTTATTTTTGGTGGATTTCATAGGTGAATTTTTTATTTTCTCTGTTTTATAACCATGTCTATATTTCAGTTTTCAATGTAAAATTTAGGGGTTTTGTGTTCGCTATGTCTTGACGTGAATAGTGAAAGTTAATTTACCGTAGTTGGCACTTGTAAATTTAATCTTGATCTTTTTGCACCTCTGCCTCTCGCTCTCTCACACACTTATATCTGTTACCAATTTTATTTGCAAAAAGTTGATGCGTACTGTTTTCTTGATCACACCTATGTGCGCTCATCTTCAAATGTTCTTTCATTTTTCTTCTGTTTTATTTATTGGTCATAACTTTCTAACTCTAATTTCTCCAAGAACTAATAGTGCAATTCATAATTTGGGGGAATTTAATGATAGATAGGGAAATTACGGATGTCAAATTTTTTCCTATCTCCCCACTTCAAAAAGAGTCATTAGGGTTTGTTTTGCAGTTCTTCTCGGCTTCTCTTGATTAATATATTTCAGCTTTCTCCTCTTTTTGATGTCCAGATTTGTTTCATGAATTCTATCTATTTTTTATTTTACAGTCATGTGTCTTTGGCTCTTCGGTTACAAACTACTCAAATAGAATACAGAAGGACTCTGTAAACAAAAATTATGCGGTCACAAGTGTTTCAATTTTATAGCAGTCAATGGTATTAAGAAGAACTCAATGTGAATAGATGAAGGCTCTGTGAACAAAATTACCAAAGGTCAGAAATAAACTTATGTTCTTCCAATTATTTTGGTTACCTTTTCGCGAAATGACATTGTGGCCACTTAAACTTGCTGTCATATATAAAGGCGATACACAAACTTACACCGTTCCCATTTGAACACTCAAACTCACATATTTGGTAACTAATAAACCTATTTGACTGTTAATCATGCACATGTGGCAGTGACTGAGGTGATGTGGACAAAGAGTGTGCAAGTCACTTAGATTAAATGCGTGAATACAATTATTTTGATTTTAAAAAATCTAAAATATAAAAAAATAATTGCAAATGAAAAAGAAAGAAAATAAGCCCTCACCCCACCTTACCCCCACCCCAAATCAGTAATACCATTATTCCCCTAACCTCTTCCTGTTTCTTTTCCCCTTTCCCATTGTCGTCTGCCCCACACCTTCCCCTTCTTTTCTTTCTCCCCCACTTCAATCTTTCCCCGCCTCTTCCTTTTTTTGTTTCAAACCCAGCGTAGTGAAAAACAAAAAAAAGCAATGAATTTTGTCAAGAAAAATCTGTCAATCCTTTCTCCCATATTAATTCCATCTCTCTTTTTTGTATCCATCTCAGACTAGAAGATAGATAGAGAAAAGAGAAAGACCATTGAAAAATTGTCGAGTTTTAGCTGAAAAATCCCACTTACGGAGTCCGACTGCTTCTCTCTTTTTGATTTCACCATTAATGTCCTCTTTGGACATAGCCTCGCCGGCTGTCTTGATGCCTTGATGGAATTTTAACAGGTTCCCCATCGGCTCTATGAATTGGGGTATGAATTCTATGGATTTTATAAAAAGTGAAAGATGGAATGGATTTTATGGAAGTTCATGGGTGATTGAGGCATGTGGTCAGGTTATGGCTGAGATTTTTTTTCTCGGATTGCAGTGCTAAAAGTTGTAGAAGAAACAGTGAAAGAAGTAAAATAAGAAAGAAATTTTGATAAATTAGTTTAAGGAAAAGGGACCCACAAATGACACATGTAAAATAATAAATGGTCTTAGAATTTGACGTGTTCTTCCTGTCAGGCAATTGAGCTACACGCTCTGACGAAGGGGTTTATTTATACTCAATTGGTTGAGTTGAGGTGCTAAAATGGGAAAATCAAAAGATTATATATTGGCTTTAAAATCTAATACAAGTTTAAGTGGCCACGAAGCCATTTCGCCTTTCATTTATTTATACATTGGAGTTGGCAAAAGACAAGTTACCTTAGATTTTTATCTAAAAACCTACAATAGAGTAGTTTGTTCTAAATTTGAAGATTTAACTAAAAAGAAGAAACAATAGGGTTTTCTGGCAACAAGGCTGATGGAAATCAAGGTGAGTTAGATGAAAAGTAGATCACTGGACGCCATTGGTGAATTCCTTAAATTCTCTGTTTGCTGGGAGCTAGATAGAACATGTAACAAGTTTTAATTTAAAGAAGCAACTTTTTGAGTAATCCGTATATTTATATGACGAGCGTGTAAGCAGATATGTATAGGATTATAGCTGGAAGAATGGCACACAAAAGTATGTCTGAATTGGTTAACAACAGAATTAAGGAAAGACATTAGTATTTGTTTCTTTCTATTGTCCCTCACTTGTGATTTTTGGTAGTGAAACATTACATTTAATAGACTATTCAGACGATTATTGTTTTTTGAATTGGAACTATTCAGACAACTATTTTGTATTTACTCCTTTTAAAAATTAAAATAGGTAAAGAAAATACAGAATAATTTAATGTAATTCTTACCAAATTTAGCCAATTTACTTTCGGGCCTTATAAATAAGATAATTGAAAGAATAAGTTGTTACTTAAAAGCGCAAGAATGACCTCATTGGCAATTGAAGTATTACCGATGAATTGTATGTCACAAGAAAATAATTATCTCCTTTTGCTAGGTAGTGTATTTCGAGTTGGTTCTGAAAACCTTTGCACCAGAAAACGTGAGAGTCTAAATATCATTATGATGCCTTTTATCTTGCATGTTCTTAATTCTTTCCTTTCTGTTGGCTCCATGCAACCAATATATGGCTATGTTAGACACCAAAAGAAATTAAAATTGACAACATAGGTTAGTATAATTAATAATTCTAGAACTTCAAAATTCTCTATACTGTAGGTTAATAAAATTAATTTCTGTATATCCACACGATTCGTCTACTGTACCTTTTAACAATACTGTTCAGTAGACCAAATTCTATTTGCCATAATTTCTGTCATGCCTGTAGTAGTCTCTTGCATATTTGATAGCATCAATTTTCTGTTTACTGACACATTTTGTTTGGAACTGAAACGTTTGAAATATTTGGTGTTTCTAATCCATAGCACGACAGCTTAAATTGTCATACCTGGCTCTTTTCACCAAAACTTACTATGTGAATCTAAGTTTGTTCAGTATGCAGGGATTGAGTCATTGTCCAACAATATAGAGATGTTGCAGCAGCTCCTTGATAGTGTTGACTAATTGGCGATGAATTTCAGAATCCTTCAAGAAACTTCTATGCATAAGTACGTGAATTTCCTCTACTTTGTTCTCAGTATCCCATGAACTGAAGAAACTTGTGAAACAACAACATTAACTTTTCTTTGTATAAAAGAAATTCATATTCTGCTTCGCCATTTATCATTTTTAAATAATTTTGTCTTTAGGAATACTGTTTCTTTTTAACTATTATTTTAGCTTCTCAAAGTAAAAGTTCTTGACAAATGGATCGTTCTGTTTTAAATTATTAGTTACTCGTGAATAAAAGAGTTTCTACGCTACTGTTTGGAAATTTTCTTAACTTAACTATTGATGGAACTAGGAGCATATATGTCGCTTGGTTTTAGCATTAAGATAAGGCCTTCATCTTAAGAGTTGACTTTTGAGCAAACGACCCCAGAATGGAATTTTGATGATTCCAATAGTTTTGTATGGTGATTTTGTAGTTAGGATCATGTTCGGATTTGGATTTGGAAGTTCGTAGGACAATACGGCGCATTTTGGCGAAAGTTGAAAAATAGAAGATTTTTGGAAAGTTTGACCGAGAGTTGACTTTTTGATTTTAGGGTCGGAATCTAATTCTGAAAATTGGAACAACTCCATTATGTCATTTATGACTTGTGCGCAAAATTTGAAGCCATTCCGGATTGATTTGATATGTTTCGGCGCAAAAATATAGAAGTTGGAAGATTTGAAAACTCATAATTCGATTGGATGCGCGATTCATAATTTCGGCGTTGTTTGACGTGGTTTGAAGCCTCAATTAAGTTTGTATTGTATTTTAGAACATGTTGGTATAATTGGTTAAGGTCTCGAGAGTCTCGAATGAATTTCGGAAGGTTAACGGAATGGATTTCGGACAAAAGAAACTACTGCTTTTTCTGCTGCTGTTTTGGACAGCAATGGTGCAATCGAGGAAGCTACTTTGGAAGCTGATATCTCGAATTCTATAAAGAATCTGAAAATTTGAAAAATATGAAAATTGTAGTCCTTTAATTCTAGTTTCTAGAAAGCTAAACCATTCATCATTTGGATATTTGTACATAAAGTTATGATCGATTTAATTAAGGTTGGTAATGCTGTTTTGTAATTTACCTAGAAATTTCTGATGTGAGGAGCCTATTTTGGAAGCTTATATCTCTAAATCCAGAAAGAATCTGAAAATTGACAAAACATAAACGTTGTAGACCTTGTATTCTAGTTTCCATAAAATTAAACCATTCATAATTTGGACATTTGTACAGTGAGTTATGACCGATTGAATAAAGGCTGGTAAAGCTATTTCTGGTGGACTTTAGTGACGACTTTTAGTGACGAAAATAGTTTTTAGTGACGAATGGGCAGAAACATTTAATCACAAAAATCAGCACTTTGCCATTTCGTTTAGGAATTTTTGGAGCTCGATTCTTGGGCGATTTTTGGGCGATTTTCACGTGAAAACATTGGGGTAAGTGTTTCTTATCCTATATTGATTATATTTCATGATTCCGTACTCATTTATATCATGAATTCATGAGCTAGGCGCTCACCTTTTTTTGGCTAAGCCATATCGTATCTTGCTGGTAATGGATTTATTCTTGAATCTTGCTTGGTTTAGGCATTTATGGAAGAAAAAATCAGATTTTTAGCAAATCTTCCAAAAACGAAAATTTAAGATTTGAAAGTCAATCTGATGCCGGGATTTGATAAAATTGGTATGGTTGAACTCGTATCGAAATGGGTGTTCGGATTTCGTAAAAATTATGTCAGGTTCCGAGAGGCGGGTCCCGCGTTGACTTTTGGTTGACTTTTTAAATGTGAAATTTTAAATCGATGTTATATTATTTGGAATTATTTTCGATGAATTTTAATGAAGTTATACAATTAATTTGGATAGATTTGAGCCGTCCGGAGGTTAATTCAAGCAAGAAGACGATTGTGAAATTTCGGCATAACTTCAAAAAGGTAAGTATATGTCACACCTCCTTTTTGCCTACACCCCCGGAAAGGAGTATATAAGGGAGTTTTTTCCAACTTAAAATGACAATCGAAACGGGATTATTTTATTAAAAATTCAGAGTCGCCACTTGGGATAATTTATGGTGTCCCAAGTCACCGATTTTAAATCCCAAATCGAGGAAATTTGACTCTGTTTAACAGTCCGCGATCCAGAAATCCGGGTAAGGAATTCTGTTAACCCGGGAGAAGGTGTTAGGCATTCCCGAGTTCCGTGGTTCTAGCACGGTCACTCAACTGTTATTATTGGCCTAATTATCTGATTTTAAACATTCTTAAACTTATGTGCCATTTTAAATTTTTTAACCGCTTTTATTTATTTTAGGTAGATTGCAACGTCATTTAAAATATGTCTTGAACCACATCACATAAATGCACCCATAGTCCGCAACACATTTTATGTAACATTGTTGAGATTTGGATTTGGGTAACATAAATGCGCACCCGAGTTTAGGAAGATAAATTGTTAAAATAACGCACTTAAAACAACTACGAATTTGTAACTTTGCGAGGGCCATGAAAATTCGCTAAATGGCACGCCTCGATTTCTAAGGATAAACAAAATTAATTAAACGAGGGCCATGCAATTGTCATTTTTGTTCGGCACGGCGCGCCTCGATTTATTAGAAAAAATACAATACTTAATTAAACGGGCCTAAGATGTTTGAGCCTATTCTAGATTAAGACTCAAATTGCTTTTAATGGTCATAAACCCAAGTGAGATCAGCAGGTATTTTAATTACATGAAGAGGTTTGGGCCAGTGCAACTATTAATTAAGAGCTGGTTCGAATAAAAAGAACATAAACCTTAGCATATACAAGGCCCTGGTCGTGAAAGGACCTTAGACTTGGGCCTGGGGAGAGCCCAAGTCTTCTCATGAGTTGACTCGGCATGGAGTCCAGATGGAGCCTCATCAACCAAATTCGAGTAGGGAAATTGGACTCCAAATGACCATTACAGAATCACGAAGAACGAATCTACTGAGTCAACATCGTGAACAAATAAACCATTAACATTCTCGAAATAGCCAAATATATAAAGTTCAGGCCCCTATCAATTGAAGCTGTCAAGCTGTTATTACAATTCCTAAGCAGATTATTCGAATATACACTAACATGATTCCCCAAACTCTAGCACACGTATATTAACATATATTTCACTTTATCTTATTTTCCTTGCCTTAAATCATCATTCCCAAATAACTTCAAACCAGCAGTTGATTTTCAAAATAAAACATTCAACTAATACTCATGTCATATAGCTTAATCTATCAAACAGTAACATGAAATCCTGGACATATCATTAGGCCTCAATATTCATACGAGCTACAAAGGCATAATGGATCTAACACCATACGCTTAGCTAACATTGCTTAATCACAAAATTTAGCTAATGATCAATATTTTTATCAAGTTCCATTTCTCAACAGTCCAAGACCAGCTATAATAGTAAGAATTTCAAAAGCAAGCAACATTTAACTACAAGGGCTCTACTAACTCCAAACAGATGCAAGCTGACTAATAGTTCTCATGTTGAACATACAATGCATCAATTAACTCCAAAAGACTGAAACTGAACTAAAAGATCTAAATATGTAGAAGTCATATTTAGAACTCCAGATTTCATTTCACTTCAATGTCAAGCCTCATGTGAGGTGAATCTAGAAACATGTACCTGGAATATGAAATGAAAGAAAGCAAGGGGAGGTCAGTAGCCAAGCAGCAAAGTAGCAGAACCCAGCAACTAGGAATAACCAATTAAACCAAATTCAAACCCAAGAGTGAGGTGCAGCGGTCCAGAAAACAATTTCAATTGAACAGTGACCTCAACAACCTCAAATCAAACTTCCACAAACCCAAGTTCAATCCATTTTAACCCCCAAATGATTCAGGAATTACTTCAGAGATTAAATTGTAACCAATAAATGCAGAAGAGAATCAATGAAACAGTGATATCTTAGTATTTCCAGTCGTTTTCAATTTTTCTCTGATTTTTTTTCTCTTCAATTTCTGCCTTGAAAGGCAAGAAAACATGCCTTTATAGGCAAGGAAGTAGGGCAGCTTAAAAGGGTTCAATTTTACACTTGAAACCTTTTGGAATTTTCAATTTCGCTCAGATACACAATATTCCCCTAGCTAAATACCCAAAATAACCCTCTGAGCCCTATTAATTACCCTCAGAAAATTCATGGGTCCATTGGACCTAATGACTCAAAACCAGCCTAACTCTTACAGGACCTGGGCTAACTCTCTTCTTTGGGCCCAAGTTTAATTCCGAAATTCAGAAGAAATGAGAAGGCAGAAAAGGCAATTCGGATTTCAAACCCACCATGAACCAAATGTTCTCAATATATCCTAAAATTAAACAACCTAACCTAACAAATTTAAACAAAATGGAAGAAGCTAATAAGTAATATTAAATCTAACTAAAAAGAACCACATGCAGAGATAATCTTGAAAACAGAAGAAAGAGAGGGAAAAACAGAAGAAGCTAGGATAGGAAAAGACCGGGAGAACTGGACTTACCCACTAAGCCAAACGAACCCGAGTTTGAAATAACTTTCCAAAGAATCCCCTACTTTTGGCCGAGATAGACTTCAATCGTGTGTTTTCAACTGAAAACACATGATTGAAGTCCATTTCAACCTCAAAATCTCAAAACCTTGATAATCAACTCTTTTCGGGGTTTTAAGGTTAAGCTTCGATTTGAAATTCGAGGGGCTCCAGGATGATTCGAAAGCAAGTGGTTAGGGATTTGGAATGAGAGGGACTTGGTGGTTATGGGTGTAATTTTGGTGGTGAACGGAGGGGGCGCCGCCGGATTAAGGTGATGGGAATTAGGGGCTGCGGGTTAGGGTTTATGTTTGGGCTCTGAAGAGACGAAGGTGAGAGAGACAAGATGGGGGGAGGGTTCTGAGGGGGGTGGGCTCGTTCGGACATTTATATAGCCTGGGGAGGCTACTTCCCAACCGTTGGATCAATGGAGATTAACGACTGGGATCCGGGGGCAAACAACGTCGTTTGGTTGGGAAATGGGGCTGGACCGGGTTGGGGCGTGGGTTTGGGCTGGGTTAAGCGGGTATTTTGG